CACACACAAACCAACAGACACACTTAGCGCGTTATATATAGTAGGATAGCCATCTGTCGAGAGCACATATTTCTAGCAAACTGCATTTAGCAACCATTTACAATCGTTTACCCACATATTACCCTACACAATCTGAAGAATCAGGGGAGGACCTTGAAATCACCCTTTCTTATTTACCCCTTACCATTGTGGAGTACCTGTACCTCACTGAAGATGAAATGGGAACCTAGCTGCTTCTCGATTATTTATCTGCACCCGTTATAGTAGGCAAATGATAGCATACCAATCGATGATCTCGTCGGCCAATATATTGCTTGATAAAATTTTACGCAAAAATCATGATAAGCATGTCCAAATTAACAAAAAGAAGCAGTTTTGGCGCAAACCCCGTCCCTAGTGAGCGGAATCTACACCCGTAACCTACTATTAGCTTTCCCATATTGGCGGCTACATCTCTGCCAAATTTGGACGCGCCAGGTCCAAATTGACTGTTTTCAAACCCCGACCGCAGTTGCGGAGTTTGCACCTGCCATTAGTTTTCCCATCTTGCTGCCTGCATCTCTGCCAAATTTGGACGCCTCAGGTCCAAATTAAATACTTTGGCGGGAGCCCTTCCCAGTGGGTGGAGTCTGCACGTGCAACGTGCCACTAGTTTCTCACCTTACCGAATGTGTCTCCGCTAAATCTGAACGCCACAGGTCCGAATTGACCGTTTTCGCGCAAATCCCCCCCCCCCCCCCCCCCAGTGGGCGGAGCTACACCCGCCACCTACCACTAGTTTTCCCATTTTTCCGCCTACATCTCTGCCTAATTTTTATGCTCCACGTCCAAATTAACTATTTTCGCAAAAACCCCGACCTCAGTGGGCAGAGTCTACAACTGCCACCTGCCATTAGTTTTCCCATCTTACTGCCTGCATCTCTGCCGAATTCGAACGCTCCAGGCTCAAATCAAATGCTTTGGCGGAAACCCGCCCAATGGGTGGAGTCTACATCTGTTACCTCCCACTAGTTTTTCCATCTTGCCGCGTGCATCTCTGCCAAATTTGAATACTCTACGCCCAGGAGAGCAGGAGTTACAGATTTCTAATGAGCTGCACTTTTCGCGCACGCCCTGCCCTTATTGGGCTGAGAGTAGCTTGAGCCACTTGTACTCGAGGAGTCCCACTTGTTCCAACCTGTTTGCTGTTCTAATTGATTTCCAAACGGTGCCACATAAAACAGTTACAGACAAATAGACATTTGTGATTCATATATAGTAAGGATTTTTGTGCCTAATTTTTTAACTTCCATAAAATCATCGTCGGCTGTTCTTTGCCACTCCTCTTTGTTCAAGCAGTTGTTTTCGTTTAATTTCAATCATATTCTTCATTCTCTCTTCTCTTTATTCAATCCTCATGTTGTGTCGATTTCTTCAATTTAATCACCTGGAATCGCTCCGTGAACTGTTTGTATTGTTGGATTGAAAATATTTCAAAAATTTACGTATTTCGTATTTCAGATTTGGGAAGCAGCACCGCAACGAAACTGAAGGAGCTCAGGCACAGCAGCACTTGACGAATGGTTGTGAGGAGGGCGGGTCTGGCATCTTCTCCCCGAAAGGCGTGTCGCGCTCGCCGCCCGCGATCGCGCAAGGTGAAGGGGAAGATTTAAATTCCCATTGGAAGAATACGGAAAGTCGCCGCGGAACCGCTGCCACTGGCCGTGGAAGTTCGGGGAGAAGTTTCGTTACCCGAGGAGGTCATTTCGATGATTCAGATGTACGACGGAGCTCAAATAGGCTTATGGGGCTGACAAGGAACACGAAACCAGCTGCGGCTGCACTTACAAGGAAGGTCTTTCAGGGCGTGGGACGCTTTTCGAAAACGGTTTTTTGCATGAAATAGGGGCATGAGCACTGAGTATAGAACTATGGTCCATTTCCGCTAAGTGGCCTTCTAAATGCCAAAAATGTAGCGAAACTGATTTCGACAAAAAACTGCCGTTTTAACCCGCTGAACGTCGTTTGTTTCATTCATGGCGTCGACTGTCCGCACAGTAGAAGGGGCCAGTGGGAGTGACATTGAATTTAACGTGAACTGTAGCCAAAAAAGGGGGTCACATGTTGATACATGATGACGAGTGCGGAGAGGTTTCATATGCGCTCTCCACGATTAAGCTGCCAGCAGCGACGAATGGTGTGGTGGATAACGATGTGGACTTTGAGTTGAGACGGCTGCGCTGGGTTGATGGTTCGTATCTCCTGGGCTTTGCCATTTTGCTTTTTATGCTGCCACCTCCAGATTGGCTCCATATTGCACCGGGGCCAAAGCAAGTGCCTTACTGATCATAGTCGTGACCAGGACCACCCAGACTACAAGTCGGGGACTACAGGGGAGGACTACAAGTCGTTACAATTTGGTGTGCGGCGCACTATCAGTGAAGGGGCTTTCAGGCTTCACACACCACGGAGCTCCCCTCCCCTCCCGTCCCCCCTCCCGCTCCTCTACTTCCTCACGTAGTTTTTTCAACAGTTCGGCTCCTTTTGCATCTTTATCCTCCACATCGACAGTTCATTCAGTTGCTAAAATGTTGGTATGATATCATTTTGGTAGTCAAAAAACTCGATATCATATCATCTGGTCTTCGAACATTGTATGGACATTGCACAGTCTATACAATTCTTTGAATCATTTGGGCAGTAATGGTTTGACTGTTGATTTATTTGAACCGAATTCCTTCAAAACTGATGAAAGGGGACCTAATTTCGATGATTCCACCGTTTTCTACCCTAACCCTGATATCGCGCCGTTGAAGGGTTTTTGTCCATTGTTCTGGGTGATCGTCTCCATTTCCATCTTTTCTCACGATCAGTATCTTCTGCAGTCACCTCGACTTCAGGAATGTCCTTCTTTATCGTGTCCTGCCAGCACTTCATAGCAGGATGCGGAGTTTATTCTTCATTTCACCCTTCAAACCCTTCGTCTAGTCATTAATCTAGTAATCTGGCACTTGAATGATTTCCTTCAGAGGTGACAGCTTTTTATATCAAGCCCAATGCTCATGGATCCTTCAGCAATAAGACGAGCTGGAAGAGAATTTGTTTCGTTTTTCCGCAGAAGTTGACGCCCAGTTGACTCTAGGGAATCGGAAGCTACAATGAATATGGGAATCCTGATCTCTTCGCATTGACGAACGAGGTCCGAACAGGAACCATATTATAGGGTTTTTCCCCCATTACAACAATCATTTAGTATGAAATGAAGAGACTCCTTTGTACTCCTGGGAGTGTGAAGCCTGGAAACTCTTTCACTGATAGTGCGCCACACACTAAATTGTAACGACTTGTAGAGGTAATTGGTGGTCCTGTTCACGAAAATGATCAGTAAGGCACTTGCTTTGGCCCTGTGCAATATGGAGCCAGTCTGGAGGTGGCAGCATAAAAAGCAAAATTGGCAAAGCCCAGGAGATACGAGCCACCAACCCAGCGCAGCCGTCTCAACTCAAAGTCCACATCGTTATCCACCACACCATTCGTCGCTGCTGGCAGCTTAATCGTGGAGAGCGCATATGAAACCTCTCCGCACTCGTCATCATGTACCAACATGTGACCCCCTTTTTTGGCTACCGTTCACGTTACTTTCAATGCACAGCCCCCTGGCGTCTCCTACTAAGCGGACAGTCGACGCCATGGATGGAAAAACGACGTTCAGTGGGTTAAAACGGCAGTTTTTGTCGAAATCAGTTTCGCTACATTTTTGGCATTTAGAAGGCCATTCAGCGGAAATGGACCATAGTTCTACACTCAGTGCTCATGCCTCTATACCATGCAAAAAATCATTTTCGAAAAGCGTCTCACACCCTGAAAGACCTTCCTTGTTAGATGGTGGTCATGGAGACAGCAATGGTGCAGAATACTTCAATACTGGAATCTCGGAGCAACGCGTATCGAAGGAGAAGATAAAATGCGACGATTCACGGCAGTTTCTGTTAATTAAAGCAACCGATCGACGGAGAGACGATGACCGATGAATCTCCAGCTCGATCGCCCCTGCTTACGGAAATGGAAATAATAGCCTTGCGGCCAACTACGTCGCTGCGGAAATCTCACAGACTAAGCCCATTTCATGATACTTTTTCAACTGCTTTCACACTTCAGCGTTACCTAATAGTTTCGCTGTTTTTTTCGAAAGCATAGGGTCTGAAAACGTCTTCCATGGTCTTGTGGGACTGTCTGAAGTGTGGATTTGGTTTTGTTTTCTCTGATCGGTGATGGAGCTGCCTAGCTGAAGGCGTAGTCTTCACCGCTTCGATTTTTATATAGTCTGCATAGGTGGCCAAACCCTAAGCGAAGAAGGAAGTTGAGCTTATCAGCTTCGTCACCGATCTTCAAATGCAACATCTGCATTTGTCTAGTCTTGTGCTTGTTCTCCTCGGAGCTCTTGCAGGGATGGCGTCGACGAAACCCCGCCCAAGCGTTCAACAGCAAGCTATCCACGAATGGAACGGCAACTCGTCCAAGCGTTCAACAACGGACTATCCACGAATGGGACGACCACTGAGAAGAGTCGCGGTCGATTTAGAGATTAAGGAGAAGTGAGCATACTGCGGTCCAAATGGGGACAAATGGTACATCTTGCCGTCTTGCAAAACACTTCTAGTGGGACCAGAGATAACTTTCACAATTTCAGCTCGCTCTAGCAGCGGCAGTTCCGGAAGGTGCAGCCGATTCTGTAAGAGAGCGATCCCTGTGAGGGTCAGGGGTACGTTTTCATGCTGAACACCGTCATCTATAGTATTGCTCTACTCACTCATTACAAGCAATTCAGGTCGGCAAGCTTTCCGTAGCGCAACCCGTCGCACCGCGCCCATTTGGCGATGTACTTTTGTCCAGCCAGTCCCAGACCATATGAGCACGCGACGGCACTTTGCGATTTCACGGGACTAGGATCGCCACAAAACGGTCATGGTTGGGAAACTTGTTTATGGAGGTTTTCTTCTCTGTCTGTTCAATATGTCATTTTCAGCTCGCCAATGCCACCGCCGACTGCTTATTCTCAATTAATGGCAGTCTCTCGAGGAGGATCGGTGGCATTAAGCTCCATGGTAAGGCACCCCATATTCGAGATGGGCTTGGCACTCTCTAGGTAATGTGATTAGTCAAAAAAGAAATCTCTTTTCAGGTGGTCGCCTTTTTGATCGGCCGAGACTCTCGAAGCCATGGCTCCCCAATACCATGTTTTGGTCGAACTGTACGGATTAGTACTACTGTTNGGATGTGCGCATTGCAATTCAAATTTGACATTTTACTTTGGCAGTATTTCAGAAACATCATATACTGTGAGTTTTTGGGAAAATTAGAGGTGGCTGTATCATTTTGCGACGCACTGTATAGTCTGCATTGCTGGGGGGGACCCCAAAATGAGGGTGGAACTTGAGCTTATCAGTTTCATCACCGATCTTCAAATGCAACATCTGCATTTGGCGGATTTTTTGTGCTTGTTCTCCTCGTAGCTCTTGCAGGGATGGCGTCGACGAAACCCCGCCCAAGCGTTCAACAGCGAACTATCCACGAATGGAACCGCATTTAGTCCAAGCGTTCAACAAGGGGCTATCCACGAGTGGGACGACCACCGAGAAGAGTCGCGCTCGCTGCAATTTGTATTAAAGAGTAGTGAGCATATTGCGGTCCAAATGGGGACAAATGGTACGTCTTGAAATCTTGTCAAACACTTCTAGTGAGACCACGGAATAACTACCTTATTTCAGCTCGCTCTAGCAGCGGCAGTTCCGGAAGGTGCAGCCGATTCTGTAAGAGAGCGATCCCTGTGAGGGTCAGGGGTACGTTTTCATGCTGAACACCGTCATCTATAGTATTGCTCTACTCACTCATTACAAGCAATTCAGGTCGGCAAGCTTTCCGTAGCGCAACCCGTCGCACCGCGCCCATTTGGCGATGTACTTTTGTCCAGCCAGTCCCAGACCATATGAGCACGCGACGGCACTTTGCGATTTCACGGGACTAGGATCGCCACAAAACGGTCATGGTTGGGAAACTTGTTTATGGAGGTTTTCTTCTCTGTCTGTTCAATATGTCATTTTCAGCTCGCCAATGCCACCGCCGACTGCTTATTCTCAATTAATGGCAGTCTCTCGAGGAGGATCGGTGGCATTAAGCTCCATGGTAAGGCACCCCATATTCGAGATGGGCTTGGCACTCTCTAGGTAATGTGATTAGTCAAAAAAGAAATCTCTTTTCAGGTGGTCGCCTTTTTGATCGGCCGAGACTCTCGAAGCCATGGCTCCCCAATACCATGTTTTGGTCGAACTGTACGGATTAGTACTACTGTTTGTAGGAATCGTCTACTTTCACGAGTGAGTTTTCCATCCATCGCTTTCAATAGTGCCTATTGACTCGTGGCTTGTTCTCTGACGTGAGGCGAATTTTATCATTTTTGAGGTGGAGCAACTCTACTCTTCGAGCCGACGCTTCGATGTTCTTCTAGCACCATTATTCTCCGACGTACTTCGACAACACGTGACTTCGTCGATGTCATTATGCCACTAAACTTCGATTTTCTTGTGGAACAACTGGACTTTGCCTTCTTCTGGCACCGCTTCTTCGACATCCTTCGGCACCATGACTCTCCGAGGCTACCACAGTTCTAAACTTCTTCGAGGTTCCCTTGGCACCACCCGATTCGCAGCATGACCTCAGATGAGCTGCTTTTCGGCGGCTGGCCGGTGGCGAGATTCGGTCAATCGAAGCATCTTCTATGGAAGGTGAAAACCTTCAGCTTTTCGAAGCATGTCGGTTCTCAGAATAATTCGTTCACATTTTTAGGAGAAACGTCCGGTCGAGAGGAGCATCCAGCACGAGGACGAGGACGACGAATTTTTTGTAGTAGATGGTGACTGGTGAGAAGGGCGCTATATAGAATTTTTTGGTTTTCACTACAACTTTCTCTTTGAGCCTTCAGATTTTTACTGTAGGGTATAGTTTGAATCGTAGTTATAATGAGTTCAGGTAATCTAACTAAGTTGTATGGTATTTAGGTTTTGTTAGTATTATTTGAGTACATTAGTATTTCTTTGATTTTAACATTGTCGGGGCTTTTGTTAGGTAAGAATTCCCGGTCGTCATTCTCTAGTAGTTAATTAAGCGATCGCAGTTAACTATTCGATTCTAGTTCGTGGCATTATTAGGATTCCATGCTTGTACCCAAAATCAGGGTATATCAGGTAATAGGGAGAAGTAGGAAGGGGAGGGGTG